AACAAGGCAACTCTAAATGCTACCTGTGGTGTGCCTAAAATTCATTTCAAGAATTAACCAAATATGAAATAGTGACATTCAGAAAGACCCAGGAGCTGACTTACCCTAGTGATCACATAGCAATACAAAAGTATTTATGTGAGGTCAAGAGGCTTTGAGAACAGAGGAAAGTCACTATACAATGCACTTTCCCAGGTGATAAATTCCTACTTTATAATGTGTTATCAACACAATTCAGCAGAGGCAGGTACACCTGCCATCACTTTAGTCAGTTAAAAGCTGTTTTGAAGTCCCATCCTTATTGAGCTGTTAATATTTACAAAGATGATGAGGGTTGATAAGCTCTTATGTTGTAGTCCATTATATTGCTTTTGCTGCTCTGGGTGTGTCGATTGCTTTTCACGTTTTATGCTAATCTCATTAACCACATCTTATTGCATCTTAGCTCTTACCTGCCTTAGCAACAGGCATAAGCTGTTTTTGACAGTGGGCACAGGGAAAAGCCTGGGCAGCCATTGACAAATGGTCCTAATTAGCACAGTTCTGTAACTCTTTGCCTAGCAGGGAGTGTCGTATCACTTGATTAGAAGCTGTGAAGATGCGCTTTCTGGGAGCATAAATATGTAAGTCTCTCTTTAATTTTCAGTAATATGGGTTAGGCAGAGCGTGCTGTGATAATTTGGCTTGATTCCTTCCAAGATTTCTGGTGGAGTTTTAGCAAGATGCCTAAGATTTCACTGTAACATCAGTGGGTTGTGGGAAGCATGTGGGATTGGTCCTGGTTTGCTGCTAGAGTTAGTGAGTTTGAATGTGGGAACTCTTATTCATAGTATGTTATGTGGTGAAATATTGCTTTTGCTTATTTTAGACACAAGCTGCCCTTCCATCTCCATAGAGCTGGCACTGGTGAGCGGGGTGTGCTGCTGGGGACAGCATCTTGCCCGGTGTTCACTCATGTTGGGAGAGAAAATTAAATATGAGCAGTACCAAGGAAAAAGCTGAAGTTCAGCGTGAGAAGGGTCTGATGTAGATTTTCGTTTACACTGCCCAGATCAATTCAGGTTCTGCTTGATGTCTGCCAGAGAGAAAACTCCCATTTAGAGGGTGGAATGGGAAGGAAAGGGTCCATCTGCTGGTTTTCTTTAATTCTTCTCCGTAGTGGAAATGTACTTCAGATGAGTTTCCTATATTCTCCTCCTGGGGAATAAACAAATCTTTTGCCAAAAATACTCAATCCCGTTGACTCTGGGCGGTTTATGTACTGAAATTATGCCAAGAACCACCAGTCAAGAAGCCCCCCCTCTGTAGCAGAGGTCAGATTAAATGCAAGTGGGCCTCTCCATCCTGACAGCTTAGTCCTCCTCCTGCCCTGATGAGAACCGACTGTGGACACGCCAGATACAACACTGGTGTGTTTGGTTGGTAGATAGCGTAGACGGTTGGACATCTGGAGCCGGGGCTGTCTGCCCTGTGAGTCCTGTATCGCCTTGTGATCGTTGTGAAACCAAACAGGAACAGGTAATAATTCAAACCGTCGCTCCTGCTATCTGGAGTTGTCACCTCTGGGGAGCGGCTGGGTCTCGGAGGGCTTGGGAAAGTGATCCTGAAGGTCAAGGGGAGACGTGCTTGGGCTCCTTGGTGCAGATGAAGTGATAATGAACTCTGTGGAAGGAGGGGGAGGACCATTTGAGGCTTTTATTATCCCCAAAGCCATGAATCATCCCAAATGCTAATCCTTGGGTGCAGAGTCAGCAGATCTGGGCTGCTGCGTGCCAGCCTGCGCTGTCTGGAGGCATCCAGCGTGCGAGGAGCTGTGCCCTGTTTCTCCCAGGTCTTTTACATTTTCCTAGGATTGTTTCATGCTTTCTCTTAGAATTATGTAGGCGAAAAAAATGAAATGCTCATGTGGCTTCTCGGACACTTTCAGGCCTTATAAGCCTAAATAGGCTTATAAGGACTCCCTCCAGCTGCAGATGGATGGGACAGGGGAAAAAAATGAATGCTCATGTGGCTTCTCAGACACTTTCAGGCCTTATAAGCCTATTTGGAAGGACTCCCTCCAGCTGCAGATGGATGGGACATGTGTCTGAGGGCTCTCTTAGGTTATGAGGTTGGGTCCCTTCAGGAAGCCAAGTCCCAAAGGCACGCTCTGCCTTGTAAAAGAAGTGCATTCTCCGCTGTTGCGAGAAGTTGGATGGGTTTGTAGGTTGGCAGAAGAACAAAGAAGGTCCAGCTCTGCTGTAAGTCTGAAGACTCTAACAAATTGCACCATGGCCTGTGGTTCCGGATCAGTGCTGGAGGGATGTGCCGCCTTCTAACAAATTGCACCACGGCCTGTGGTTCCGGATCAGTGCTGGAGGGATGTGCCCCATGTCATGGCACAGACATGATGGCAACCCTTTGGTCACTATATGTCCCAGATCAGAGCCTATAGATCTTGTCAGGGAGGTGGGTGTGCTGGCTGGCTGGTGTTTGGTTTAAATTCAGTGGTAGACATTTCCATATTGATGAGCTGCTACTCATCACTCAAGCTTAACTAGCACCCTGGTTTTGATGTTTGATGGGGATGAAGTAAGTAGCTACTCAACCTGGTCCAGAGGTGAGGGGCCCAACAACTGAATGGGAAGGTGAGTAGTTCCACTGGAGGCCACACATCATGCAAAAGCTCTCAGAGCATGGTGGATGCAGCTGCCAGGATTCGAGGCATTTCTGCAGAATTTCAGTGATGAGAAGGCTACTGGCCCCATGATGGTTGGCAAAGGAGAACTTGGGATCTCTCCACCCAGCTGTGGTGGTGACAGCTGGGGGGTCACCTGTCCCTCCTGCCCAGCTGCCTCTGCCAGAACTCAGCTCTCGCCTCCCAGCACCAGCCTCGTTAGTGCTTCAGCCCTTAGTTGGGTGTTTTGTTGTTCACTGGCAACGAGGTTTCTAAATAGGGGTTTAGAGACCAGCCATTAAGCCTCTGATTATGAATATTGTGGGTTAAGAATCTATATTTAGAGGAACAGCCTTTTCGTTTGGTAAAAATGAGCTTTTTTGTTATTGCTTCCTTCCAAAACCTCTTCTACTTCACTGCATTTCCCTGCCAACCTTGACTGCTATGGCAGCCATTGCGCTTATGAGTCAGGCTTAAAAATAGGAGGAAATTTTTATTTTAATAATCAATTACCCTGTGAGTCTATGATTTAAGTTGGAAGAGACCTCAGGAGGTTGTATGGCCGAACCTCCTGCTCCAAGAACATCAGCGGTGACATCAGGCCAGGTTGCTCAGGGCTTGGTTTTTTGGTTTGGGGTTGGTTTTATTTTCTGTTCTGGTTTCTGTGGCCTCGGGAGGGTGTACTCTGTCTGCATTTTCACGTGTCCCTACAAACCGCTGGTAATCTACCTTCTCATTGCAAGCAGAGATGATCCATAGTCATTTGATCCCATCAAAATGGACTTTTAAGAGGTGAATAACCCCCCCTCAGCTTTTGTGAGCATTAAGAGGAGAGATCCTGATTTTTTTACCCAGATGTCCCCGTTTGTGGCACTTGGGTGCTGGCCAGCCTGCAAAGAAAAGTGCATATTCCTGGCAGAGGAGCGCCGGCAAAGCTCGGCAGCAACAGCTCCTCGGCGCTAATTGACCCCCTTCTTGGCAACTTCATCAAAGAAGCTGGAGAATAAATAGGCTGTTGATTGAACTGTTTCCTCGTCCTCCGAGGTGGTCCCTTAGTCAGGGTTGAGGCACATTGTCGGGGCTGGGGAAGGAGCTTGCAGAGTGATTAGCCCGTGCTTGCTGAGGAACAAAACCCTTTAATTTACTGCACCTTCCATGTGACATCTGCCGGGTGAGATGGAAACGTGGTGGGGGTTTGCTGGCTCCTCCATCTGCAGAGGTTGACCCGCTGTGCCCGCGGAGCAGACCTCAGTCCTCTGGACCACTCTGCTGATGCACGGGGTGCTCATTTTGGGGGACGAGGTGGTACGTAGCTCAGATGGAATCTCTAAGAGTGGAATCTGATGAAAACAGAGGTCAGGAGCAGGAAGACACCTTCAAGGAAAGGCTGGATGCAGAGGTCGAGGCGGATGCGGAGGGACGTGACTGATGCATTCCGTACATAGAAAAGTCGTGTTCGTGCTTGTTGGCGCCGCTGCGAAGGCACGCAGAAATCCTGCAGAAATGAGGCGTGCAAGTTTCAGCTGATTAATTAATGGAGCATATAAGGAGAAAATATTAACCATTTTACTGATGCCAGTAAATAGGTTGTTAAATATTCTGCTTTTTTTTTTTTTTGTGACAAAGCACAGTCACATACTTCATACTTCAACCCCTTTTATTTTGTTCCAGGCTGGGCCTGGAGTCCAAAATATTTGAACTTTCTGTAGAATGAGCAGTCCAGGAAAACTGTTTTCAGTGAAAATATTTTAAAACATACTTCATACTTCAACCCCTTTTATTTTGTTCCAGGCTGGGCCTGGAGTCCAAAATATTTGAACTTTCTGTAGAATGAGCAGTCCAGGAAAACTGTTTTCAGTGAAAATATTTTAAAGTATATGAACTGAAACGCTTTGTTTTGAATCAGATCGGTGTTGAACTCGGAGATTTGACAAATACCGTGCTGCTTTGTGAAATGTATTGTCTAGAAGTAGGATTTAAAAGCAAAAATGAGCACTGCAAGCCTTGCTTTTGGGCAGAGGCTTTCCTGCTGCAGCTGTTTCAGGGCTCATTCTTCGCTCGGCAAACAGAGTGAGTGTGTGCAAAGTAAACACTGATACGGTGCTCCCACCGCAGTGGCCTGTGTAATCACGTGTCTGTGTAATGAGTTACACCGTGAGTCTGCGTGACACCATATACATCACTGTCATGTGAGAGGGCCTATAGAGTTACGTTGCTATGACAGCCTGATGTGGGGCAATGCACCATGTTCTTGGGTAGCAAATACAGCCCTTTCCTTCTGCTGAAACTGATGGTTGTGCCTGTGATTCGCTGGCAGTGATGCTGTGCCATTTTTGTTTTTTAGTGATGAAAACACTAGAAAAGATTTGAAGACACTGCCTGTCTTTCCCACCAAGACACTGCAGGAGCATCCATCACTCGCTTACTGGTGAGCTGTTTAATTTAAAATGTAAATAATTGCTATGAATGGTAAATACGAGATCACTTTTGAACAGTTTTGCAAACTCTTTTAAAAGCTTTCAGTTTGTATGACATCAGACACAGAGTTAATAGGTCATGTTCAAGCATTTCCAGTTTTTAGAAGGTTATAAATTATGTGAGATCTGATGCAAATCCCTCATTGAGAATTTTCTCAAATTAAACTGCTGGATCAGGAACTGCTGGATCAGAATATGTGGGGACAGGGCATTAGAAAGAGCTGAAATCTGAACTCCAGCCAAGGCTGGGTTTGCAAAGAGCACCTCTTCAGTAGAGCCTCGGTGGTGGGTTGACCTTGACTAGCTGGCAGATGCCCACCCAGCAGCTCTCCTCAATGGGATGAGGGGAGAAAATGAGGTGGAAAAGCTGGAAACGGAAACTCAGGTCCAACGTTGAGGCTTGAATCTGCTGTAAAGGAACACCAAAGAGCACCTCTTCAGTAGAGCCTCGGTGGTGGGTTGACCTTGACTAGCTGGCAGATGCCCACCCAGCAGCTCTCCTCAATGGGATGAGGGGAGAAAATGAGGTGGAAAAGCTGGAAACAGAAAGGCAGGTCCAATGTTGAGGCTTGAATCTGCTGTAAAGGAACACAGCATTTGGGGTGAATCAACAATCCTGTTTCCTTGGAATTGATGCCCTTTGTGCAAGTTTGACTCCCTCATTTGTTTTGGGGTTTTTTGTGTGTACCTGACAGATTTTTCAAGTATACGGGTACTTGGTCATGATTTGGGTTTTTTTAGAATGAATACTGCTGGTTTTTTCTTTGCTTTCAAGCGTCTGACACTTAAATGCATATTTTATTTTACATTCCACTAAAACAAAATGTTGAAATATGTAACAGGAAAAATGCAAAAAGGTCATTGCTGACAAATCTGTATTTCTTCACCTATGAAATGTCAGGGGGAAATACACTGGAAGGAAAAAACATTTCTGGTTTAACTTCTTCTGTCTTACATATGGAGCACTAAGCATCCTTTGAAGTTTTGGTGCTTTAGAATGTGAAAATGAACTTATATAATTAGTACCATTATTCTGCAGCAGCATCTGCAGCGGGGCAGGCTGATCTGAAATGATTCATTAATTAGTCTGGGAGGCAGCATGCAATGGCAGGGATCAGCCAGGCAGCTCCACGCTGCTTAATGAAGGGTGGGAAAGAAATCAGTAAGAAACAGAATGTAAAACCCGGGCAAGAAATGTACAGAGGGACACTTCTCTGCATGCTGAGCAGGCATCTGAATTTCAACAGATGCCGTCACACATGAAAAAAAAGTCACTGAGCCTATAAATTGGGTTTTGTGCTTGTTTTGCAGTGAGGACAGAGTAATTGAGCATTATACACAAATTAAAGGTCTGACCAGAGGACAAGCCATTGTTCAGTGAGTATGACACTTGTTAATTTGTGAAGATGATATTTTTACTTTTTTTTCTCTTTTTTTTTTTGTTTTGTTTGAGAAGTGGCAAATGCAAGCTGTTTTGATCATTACTGATTGCAAACTTTACTGTTTTTTGAGTTATCTTTGAAAGTTGAATTATTTGAGATTTCACAGGCTTCCAGTTAAGCTTATGTTTCCTCATACCTAAAATCAATTATTTGGACCTTACTTTATTGGAAGACTCTTCTCCATACCCTGCTTGCCATCAATTAGTTGTCACACCAAACTCTGAAGGGCGAGTGTTACCTTACTTAGGTCCTGTAAAAAAAACCTAATGTGTGTTTGTTGAAAAGTTCAGCATTTGGCTTTCAAAAGAACAAGATCTACACAGAGCCTGTGGAATTTCATTCTTAATTTACCATTAATATTACTGTATTTCCTACAGGCAGATGCAGTGGGGTGTGTTAGAAAGCATGAAGTTTGAGATGATTGCCGTGGCTGCACGGTGTAGACAACTTGTAGTTTTTCTCCCATACCTCGATGCCTGTAGTTCTGTCTCAATAATTCAGCGGCTTTTTTCAATAGGGAAGAAATTGTCTGTTCAGTGGTTGTCTGAATTGCCTTATGAAACAGTTGTACAACTGCATAAACGCTTTCATTTGGAGCCTATCCATTGTAACCAAAGCACCGTAATGGAATAATTATAGGCAGCTCTTCACCGCCTACATTTCCCCAAAGGCTCACATGTTCAGTTCAGAATTTTTACGTTCAGTTCTCTGACCTTCTGATAAGAGATTGAATGTTTTGTTGTATGAGAGATTTTTCCAATCACTTTAGCTGGGCCAAAATACCACATCTTTCCCTGAGCCAGGATGCTAAGTTTTTTACTGAAAACATGGGCCTTCAATTATTAAGACCTTCAAAAAATGCAAATGATAAATGACATGTCCTGAATGTACGTGTGAGAAAAATATGTTAATAGATATTATTCCCTCCAGAGAAAATCATCTGATACGCTATAAATCTGTCTACAGGTACATGAAAGTGGTAGAAGCTTTGCCAACATATGGAGTTCATTACTATGGAGTAAAGGTTAGTAAATGCCCATAGATAATGTGATTGCTTAGCTTATTACGTGTGATTACATTCCTATAGGAGTAGTTTGATGATTCAGTACTCTTCTATCAGAATTAAACCCCCCATTTTTTCAACCTCTATAATTTTTCCCCCTTTGCTAGTCTTTAAAAATTGTTTCCAGAGAGCAGCAAAGCGTTAGGTGCTACAGAAGACAGAAAGGAGTCTTTGTAAAACCTTCTGTAATCCTATGAGGAGCTAAATTCATATCAGCTTAATTAAACTGGCTATCACTTCTAGATCCAAAGCAGTTAATAGTTTCCCCAGAGACATTTCTAATCGAGTAGAAAAAAAAAATACAACGTAGAAAAGACTACTTCTAAGTGGCCGGTGATTAGTGGGTGCATACTTGGAGTGGGGAAATGCTGAGAAATATTTTTGGAGAGTGATGGAAATACACCATTTATTCCCGTTTGTAGAGCAGAGCCTGGGCCCAAAGTATTTTGTGCAGAAGAGCTCAAGAGAGGTGATGTCTCCTTACTTTTGGGTCATGGCTATGACTGTGGTACCTGAGAAGCTGATGTTTTGTGCTCTTCTCTCCTCCTGCGGCCATCCATGCCTGAGTTTAGTGGATGCAGTCACTGGCAGCAGTTTGGTTTTTTTTTTTGGTCCCATATTCCCCCTGCCACTTCCTGCAATGAGTGACACCCCTTTGTTTCAGCAGCACTGATGCTTTTTTTTTGTCCAGTTTGCACAACCACCACCTGGTTTCTTGCCTCTGCCTAAGAAGGCAGGGGGAGAAAGTTTCAACATTCACTCCAGCATTCCACTTCACATCGATTTGTTTGCAAAAATATCTTTGTTCCGTACCTACTCCTACTTGTCACAGAATGCAATGGGCTGTAATCTTGGAATTGCCTAATTCTTAAGTGGCTCTTGGTTTATGTAGACTTCTCTTTTTCAGGATAAACAAGGAATCCCGTGGTGGCTTGGAATAAGTTACAAAGGAATAGGCCAGTACGACTTACAAGACAAAGTTAAGCCCAGAAAAGTAAGGGGTTTTTTGCTTCTAACTTTTTTCCGGGGTGATGTGGGATGGTGATGCATGTCAGAATATACTTTTTTTTTTTAAGCTGTTGCTTATTAGACTAGTGAGCAAAAGGGCAAGGGCTGGAGGCAGAAGGAGAATTCTGCTGGCACTGGGGCAGTAAAGCTCTGCCTCTCACACAGATAGTGGAAGTTCCCTTTGGGGAGCTTTGTCTTGTGTGTCGTCTTGAGTTTGGTGGTCTCAGGACAGCCTGCACGGGAGTTCTGGCAGCTTCCAGGGATCACTAGAGAAGTACGAAGCAATTGGGTTTCTGCAGGTCCTGAACTAAAGGCCACGTACTCGAGCGGTGTTTTCACTTGGCTTTTGTAGATGTTTTTTGTGTGTGAAGGGATTGATAAAAGGCTCCACTGATATCTGTGAAATACGAGGGGGAGTGCGTGAAAATGCAGGCCTCATTAGGCAACTGTATGTTTCCATGATGCAATGAATTGTAAGGGGGAGGATTGAGAGTAAATGCCAAAAACTGGAGGTTGTCCTTCTCTTTTTCCACCCCCCTGCTCCCCAGCGTGTCTCTCACAGAGTGAGCTCTGCCAGCAGCCTCCCTTGTTGTTTAAAGAGGGCAGAGGGTCCCTGGCTCCCTCAAAGGCCCCATCAGCCAGCCCCAACAGGCTCTTCTGCCAATGGGCTTGGAAGCCCATCACCCAGCCCAAGCACACGACATGTTGGGAGCTCGCCCACATCTCCCTGCGACAGGACTGAGCCCTGAAAGTCTTTGAAGAGTTATTTAGCCCTCTTGGCTGGGGAAACGAGCCAGGACTGCACATCAGGGACCTCACTGTTGGACTGGGGGCGTGTGGTTTCTTTCTGGTCATGTCTTCCTTGGAACATCTAAGCTGTGAGGAGATGGAGACCTGGAGTTTTGCTGTTCTCCTTCCCCGGGAATGATCTGGGCAGGAGTTCACATGAAGTGTGTGTTTCCTGCCAGGGAATTTTACATTTGCAAAATGATACTGTTTAGTGTATTTGTGCCAAAAAACACAGCTTAACAAAACTTCCTTGTTAAGAGTAATTCCCCTTCATGCTCCCAACATGATCATCTCTTTTTCCAGAGCAGGCTATGACTTGGTTTCTTTTGGTGTATTTTTATATACCTGGGTGCCCAAGGTTGAACTTGTACATCCTTCCTTTGCTTTGTTTAGTCAAGCAATTCATTCAGCCCCAGATCTCCTTACAGTGCCTGTTCTAAGATGACAGTGACACAAGAGGAACCCTAGAAAATCAAGTCAATGTTAATGCAGCCATTGACAGTCAAAGGAGAGCATCAAGGAGCTCGTCTTGCTCTTGAGCATTTCCCTGTTCTTAGGCAATATCTACAAGACTATCTGGTCAGGTCAAACACGGATCATTCTTTAGCCAAGATGTCCAGCTGTGACCAGCAACGCTCTCCAAGAAAATACAGTCTGCCTGGCTAGAAGCATTGCTTCGCCAAGCAGTTTTTGTGCTTGTGGGATTTCAGTTTACAACATCAACCAGGCAGATTAAGAAAATTTTTTAAGGTCAGCAGGGCCCAGATACCAAGTCACACCCTGCTACAGTCAGTTACGAGGCGTTGCCTTTGAATGCAGCAGGAGTTGTGTTTAGGAAAAATAAAATAAAAAACAAAAATCACCTTTGCAATGGAAGTGTTACAATGGGAATGATAGTAGTTGTCTGCTTTACTGTAATTATAATTATACAACAGATGGTAGAGATTAAAAGGGGAAGGTAGGAGAGAGGAGCTGATAGGCAGAGGGGAAAGTTTAATGCCAATAAGCTGATTGAAAAAGTGGGGATGGATATGGCTTGTAGTATCCTTATGGATTTGTGTCTGGTGTTAATAGGAAAGGACAAAAGTGACTTAAGCCACAGCTTGTCCTGCGTCGTGACTACTTTTAACGTGTGGCTAAATATGCAAACAGTTTCTTCATACAAAACGAGTTTCAGGGTTTGAAATACAAAGTGAGCTTCTGATGTGATCCATGGGAGTAATTGGAATCAGATTGCTTTCAGGGCGGGGGGAAGGGGGGGAGCAGATGCTGGGTCGAGAGAGGCACCCACATCCAAACTTGGGTTTGGAGTTAAAATGTCAAGATCCTGCTGTTTGAGTGTAGTTGTAGCCTTGCTGCCTGTGATGCAGCAGGCAGAAGTTTCCTTTTAACCAGTATTGTTGGTTGTTCATATTTATGAATGTACCAGAATATATTTCAGAGAGAGAAGGGTCTGTATGGCTGGCCTGAATCTCTGAGGAGTCAGCAAGTGCAGTCCTTCCCAAAGCAGCAGGCAAGAGGAGGGTGGGCGTGTAAACTATGCCTGTCTTTTGGAGCAGAGGTGCTAGTTTTGCTGGATTTAGCAGAATTTTCTTGCTCCGCTTTTCGGGACAGAGCCAAGCTCACAACTGCCATGTGCTGATGTTACCCAACTGTTTATGTTGTGAATCAAAAGTGCTGTTGTGTTTATCACCAGCCATCTGGGAAAGAGCATCCTTATTGTGCTCCACTTCTCCAGTTAGTGATGTTTAAATATACATGCAGCTGATTAACTCAATAAAAGGGAAAGGCTGAGTCCAAGTCTAATGAAGCTGGCCTTTCCTAATTTCAAAGATACAAGTGATCCGTAGTTGTTCAAACCTGTCTGATACAGGCTGCAGTGGGAAAGCTCCTGGATTTCGGGTGGGAGGCTTTGAACTGGAATTGGTGCCTGTGCTCTGGCTGAATTTCACACCAGGGGGGTTTATTCTGCACCCTGGTCTTGTCTGCCATGCTAATGGCTGCTGTCACAAGTACCTGCATTTGTTTAATGTGTTCATCATAGGTACCTGGTAAGAGCCAAGTCCACATTCAAAATAAAATTTTAAAAATAATAATAAAATTATATATATAAAATTAACTGCACCCATTAATGCAGTGCCAATTAAATCCCAACAAATATAGCCATCCTCCTTAAAGTCAAATTTTCTGGCTTTATTCAAGTAGGTCTTTAGGCAGAGAGACCTAAATACGAGCCTTGGAGCACAGTGGTTATCCCACGATTTTGTTGTTGGATCAACACAGTTGCGTGAAGTCCAGGGCTGAGAACTCTTCACAGGAAACAACTTGCACGCCAGCCCTGGCAATAGGGATCTGGAGGTTGCTTCATCTCCTGGCCTTGCCAACGCTTGCACATGTCCCGTCAGTCATCCGTGTGGAGAGGACGGTGTGTCACTCAGGGCTGGACCAGGAGAACCTGCTGTGTCTGTCTCTCCGTGTGAAGCTGGCTGGGGAGGTTTGGGTCCGGCTATTAATATTTTACTGGTTGTGCCGAGATGGTTTGGGGAGAGGAGTTGTGTTGCTGTAAGTAGCTCCTGAGAGCTGGTGTTGCTTTGGAAGCGGTTTGTAGCGCAGTGGGTTCGGGTTTTACCCCTTTCCTGGGACTGGGAGCTGATGGGAGCCAAGGGGAACGCTGCTCCAGTGCTGTAATAGGCTGGAAATCGAGAATTATTTTTTGTCATTTATGAAAATTGTCTTTGTAGATAAAAGCAGCGGCTCCATACTGGCTGGAGGTTACGCTGGGCTCGGTTGATTATAATCCTGAAGTCTCACAGGGCATAAAAACCCTGGGTTTGGCAACTCTTGTTCAGATTTCAGCTCGGACCTGGGATTAACTCTGCAGTCCTGCTGCTTTGCAAACACAGTCTCCTTCAGCTGCAGTTAATACCGAGAGATGCCTCCTGCTTGCTGTGGGATGGCAAGCCAAGATCCTGTCCCCAGTCTCCCCTGAATCCATTAGGAAAAGTATAAAACAGGTCCCAGGACTTCATATGCTGTTTCAAAACAGAATAGACCTCCCTTTTATCTCTACCCCAGTTCTTCTCGCTGGTGAGATAAACAATGCTTTGTCTTGTTTATGAAGTGTGTATTATGGTCTGAGTTTATTCTGCGTTCAGCCAATACGTGGTGATCCTCTGAGGGACGGGAATTTGAGAAAGCAGCTTGCTGGCTTTTTGACTTGTTCTCCCACTTCATTGTGTTTCTGTGGGCGACTCCCTGGTGATAAATGAACTATAATGTCTGAGGAAAACAACTAATCTCGCTATGGTATTGTTTCAAATCTGCAAGAATTTTCATTCTAATGCTGGTTGTCTTGAATACATTATGTTCTCAGAAGTGTTTTTTATTAGCGTATGCTAGTTTTGAAATGGGTAATATTTATGAAATTTTTATTTTAATTCAACATATACTAAGAGCTGAAGCTGAAAGTTTTCCCTTGCAGGACATTTCCATAACGTAAATTTGCTGTCCTGATTTGCTGAATGGTTCAGAACACAACAGCATTTGTATAGGCTTCTCAGCAGGAGGATCTAATTAGGCAGAGACTTCTTTGACGGTGTTTATTTCTCACCAAGTAGAAGCCATTGATTTAGACATAAGACACTAAGCTCGTGTAATTATTTAAAATAAACACATAGCTCTTACAAGACTGCTCTGAAATTCAGTTCCTTCCAGATGTGTGGAAAGTTCCTTGAGTGTCATCTGCCCCAAAATGTGCATTGTGGGACACTTCAGTGCTGAGACCTCTGATTTTTGTTAATGCCAACCCTAGTGAGAACTGAGCAAGGATGGACTGCAATGAATTAGGAAAAAAAAAAATGATTGAAGAGGTTTTTAAAGGAATGGCTTAATATGTAAGAGATGAAGGATGCCTCCAGGTGAGCTCTGCCAATCTATACTGGTGCAGGTGGGAGCTGTCTGCTACCTCCTCTCAGGAGCTGCTGCAGGTGGGGCAGTTTGGCTCTCCTGCCACCTCCTCCAGTGCCTCCCTCTGTGGCCAGGGCACAGCAATTTAAAATAAAAGATGATTTCAGTTGAAGGTAGTTTGCCAGACACCAAAGAGGAACGGAGGGGCTGAAACGCAGCCCTTCTTCCAGCGTTGCCGGCAGGGCGGTAATTTCCTTCATCGGGGTGGGGTGCATTCCTGTGGGCAGAAATCTTTTATATTTCCTTGGCCTGAATTGCCAGATTTGCCTGGAGATTGCTGTTCCCAGCCAGTGCCTGGGATGCTGGTTGCTGAACCCCCTTACAGGCACTGCATGTGCCACGAGGTGCTTCAATGTGCTTCCTGGGGTAGAGGCTAACACTGCAGCGGGGTTCACACTTCCACGCTGACCTTAACCCAAGGGTCCTTTGGGTCTAAAATGAAAGATCTAGGTAATTTAGCTCTTGGTCGGAATTTGCCATCAACCTTGGAAACATCCTGGGTGCAGCCCTTGGCACATGTTGTGTCCCAGGGCTGGTGTGGCAGTGGTTGGACACACAACCCAGATTTTCACCCTCTTGCAAAGAAAAGATGATTTTTAAAGTCTTTTCTTAAACAAAATGTGTTAGGCTGGTAGGAATATTAAGCAAAGGGCCCCTGGGAAGCTCTCTTGCACGTTTCTCAGGCAGGGGCTCTGCCAGCTCCTGCCTGCAATCCTGATGGGGCCGTTTTTCGAGCCAGCGAGTTCCTGCTGTCGGGCCCAGACAAACTTGCATTTTATTCAAAACTGAATGCGAGATTCGCCAGGTAAAAAAAAAATAAAATAAAAATCAGCTTCATCTTTTATTAAGTTGTCTCACAACTTAAGCAGCCTGTGTCTGCTTTGTGCCTCGTTAGACTAGAGTTACACCTCTTTTGTATGAGAGAGAGGGTTGAGAAGATCTTTTTGTTCTGTGTTTCTGCAGTATCTGAAAGAGAATTGCAGCAGAAATTCAGGAAGCTTAAACTCACGGGCCTGGAAAAGCAGCATCTGGGTGGTAGGAGTCTGGCTGGTGCAGAGAGGTGCCTGATTAATGAGCTGTGATCGGGAAGATTTGCACCTCCACCTTCTCTAAAGAGACACCCAGGAAACAAACCTTGACTGGGCCAAATTCTGCCTGTGGAGTCGGACAGGCAGCCCCTGCTATGTCCAATGGGAGCTTTCAGTAGCCTTTCAGGATCTGGCAACCTAGATGGAAGGGAAGGCTATTGAGAAAACATTCATTAGCTCAGGTGGACCTAATCATCTGGTTAAAGTGAAGCATACATTGCAAAATGTCCACAAAAACATTTTAATTATTCCTAATTGTACTTCCAGCCCTCAAAAACCAGTTTCAGATTTCCAGATTATTTTTTTTTTACAGCTCTTTTGTCTTTTAATATGCATGTAGTTTAGGTAAGATTGAAATTAGGGATGATTTAGAAACATGTCTGTACAGAGTTAGGGTGAACTTGAAGGGAGCAGGAAAACTCTAGTGCAGTGACAGTTTCCTGAGTGTAGCCTTTTGACCAGAATTTAGGAAAAAATTATTTGAAGGAGTATATAGAATTTCATTTGGTTTACTCTGGTTTATTCCTTTTTTTTTCCCCCTTATTTGTATTGGGACCTTTTGTTGCCTCTTGTCTTCATGAATTCAGACAGATTTAGTTAGGTAGAGTTAGGCAGAAACTCTGATACATTCATTCATGATTATTTTTTAAGTGCACCTATATAAATATTACTAGTTCACAACTTATTCTGAAGCTACTCATATAATCACTGGTCTTTTTTTTTTTTTTAAGGACCTGACTGCAGGAGTTTGTCAGAGGAGTTGATTGCTAGGAGCTTGTATTGTTTTTAAGTGAGCTTAAGGAGAGGGCACTTTTCAGTATGTAAAAGCAGAAATATATCCTGCAATGGAGCATTTCCAATGCTGCTTCCCCATGTCCCCTGCAGTGGGGCAGCAGAGGGGGGAGCCGGGGTTGTCCCAGTCCTGTGTGTCCTTGGGCAAGGAGGCAAATGTCTTTGTGCTGAGTGTACCTGGCTGCAAATGCTTGGGGCACCGTCAGCTCTGTCTTGGGCTGGGATGGATCTCACAGGGTGGGGAGGAAATGGGGCAAAGCTCTACCCACATCCCAAGGCAATTCCATGCAGGTTTCCTTACAAATGCAAAGGTTTCCCCCCCACACTTTTTCGCACCACAGATGGTGAGGAATTCATCTCATGAGGGGCTGGCACTGGATTTGCACAGGCTGCTCCCCATGGAAGGGTCCACCCAGACCCTTGGAGTGCTGGTATGACCCCTGCCTGGGCAGGAGGCTCCTCAAGGTGGTGGGACAGCTGCATTTTGTCCCCCTGCCAAATGTGACCCTCTTCACCCCTGCTGCCCGTGGGCCAGGTGACCCCTTCTCCCGCAGCCCTGGGGAATGCCGAGCACGTCCGGATGGGGGAAAAAACCCAGAGGAAGTGATGAAGGGGACGGGGGAGTCATCACCCGCAACCGATAAGAGGCAGAGAGGCAGTTTTTTTTCCCGGGGTTGTGTCTGAAGCACACCCATCGTGTTTTACGAGCGTGGGAGCGGGGCGGCCAGGAACGCGGCCTGATGCTTCTGGTCCAACCTGTTGCCTCTCGGGCGTCATTCCACGGTGGTGGGGCCGGGGCTTGGCCACCTCAGCCCCCCTGGCCAGGCTTCCTCCCACCTCAGCCCCACACCGGGCCTTGGGGGGGTTCCGAAAGCGTGCAGCCCTCTGGTAGAAACCCTCTCTCCTTCCCTCCTGGGCTTGGTTTTCCCTTTATCGGAGGGCAGAGGGTGGGTCGGGGAGGCGTCGCTGCCGGGAGAGGCGGGTGATGTCAGGCGTGTGTCAGCAGTGGGAGGTGAAGCCGGGGAGCGGAGCAGGAGCAGGGAAGGATGGCAGGACGAGGGCTGCTGCTCGTCCTACTCTTCCCATGTCACCCTTAACGCTGTCTGGGGAGAAGGGGACGGTGCTGTGGGGAGGTGAGTGCGGGGACACGGGGGCTGTGTGGGGACACGGGGGTGGCCGAGCCACCGGGGCTGAGCTGGGGATCCCTGTGTGCTGGAGCACCCCCGGGTGCTATTGCTCAATGCCCTGACGTACTCTGTGAGCTCTGTTCTCTTGGATTTTCTTTTTTTTTTTTTAATGTATTTATTTAAAACTTCAATGGCGAGTTATAGAGAGGGCACTTCTGAAAGTAGTGTGACCGGTCAGGGTGCCTTTCGTACAAAGATAAACTTAAGCAGCAGAGTAAAACTTCCAAGATCTTTTCGAAAGTGACTTATTAGTCCAAGGAAGTGACATTTCCCCTCACTACATTTTTCATCTAGCAGGATCTAATAATACATTGTAGTACTAGAAAGGAAAGCTTTAACTAAACAGAGGGAAAGGTCGCTGGAAGAGCTGGAGTTTTCCCCAACAAACATGTGCACTGAGTTATGCTTCATTTATGATCCATGTTAAGAATGTTTCAAATGCAGCATGGCGCAATACATAATTTTTTTTTTGCTAAACTTGAAGTTCCTCCATCATCAGAGCACAGTGTGTCAGGCTTTGGCAGAGGTCGGGGGGGAAAGTCCTGTGTCTGGGGACACTTGATGTGGTGGCTGCACCCGTGGAGGCTTTGGAAAAACTGTGGGGGGGGAGGGAGTTGCTGTGGTGACCCCAGTGCCTCGGTGGATCGCTGGTTTTGCAAGCTGATCTCTCCCACTTGATGCTGGCCCTGCCTGCCCAGCCTGGGTGGAAGCACCTCGGGTACCCCCATGTGGGCTCCAGCTCTGGGAAGGTGGCTGGTTGGGAACTACAGCCTGTGTTGCTGCTCTGGTGCACCCCGTCATCTTCAGGTCATGTCCCTGGGGACAGCTGTATATGTCTGTGTGTGTGCCCAGGCATCCAGGCACTGCTGGAGAGGGGACTGGAGGTGATACAGCAGAACCCTGCACCCAGGGGACAAGGAATAGCTCAGCCAAAGCTGGGCTGAGAAGATGCAACCTTGATGGATCATCCCCCTCCAAGGGTGGCTAGTGCTGGTGCAAAGGGAGAGCAGATTCGTATGAAATTCTGATCCCACGGGTGCAGCTGCCAAGCCCTGCTTGACTTTGATCTCTTCTCCCAGCTGGCACTTTGCAGGAAATCTGTGGTTTCCTTACAGAAGTATGCGCTGTGGGGTGGCTTCCTCCTGTAGCTGCTCTTTCTCTCTACGTGTTGTACCCCTGCTCCAAAATGTCATGCTGAATCTCTCACCCAGTGTCTTCAGAAGAGTAAGGTCTTGGTTTTCCCCCAGCTGCTGCCGTTCCCTGGGGATGTGTTGACTGAGGGAAGAGACCATAGGTGTCTATGCAATTACTTTGTCTAGAGATTTTTCTGTTTAATCAGAGAGAAAAGGACTTCAGCTGCCCTCCCCAGTTCTCTGTGAGCTTCTAGTGGTGAAAATAAATGTTCCATTGATGGAACGAGATGTTGTCACAGGCAAAATCCACAATTTGCAATGCATGTCTGTAAGAGTGTGACATTACTTGAGGGCCATCCTATACATTTCTATGTATGTGCTTATTTTAATTGATGTTGTGAATGTTGTTACTGCTGAGTCCGTGCCAATAGCTGAACATACATGGGAATTGTAATTTGCTGGAATGACATAATCTTGTGGGGAAAAGACTGGTGATTCTTGTAGTGACAGTGTTCTGCTTCTCTCTCCCAATTCCTGTAGCTATTTCAATGGAAACAGCTGGAAAATCTCTACTTTCGTGAAAAGAAGTTTGCTGTGGAAGTACACGATCCCCGCAGGTGAGGCTGGAGGAGGCAGTTGTAGCAGTGGGATGGTTCTTTACCCAGGCTAGGGATTTGTCACCTCGTGGCAGGGGATGGGAGGTGCCTCTGATTTTACTCTGGGCTGTGTGACACTGAGCCTGATCCTGCCTTCAGTGGGACAGACTGGGGCTGGGGCTGGGCTGCTGGTGACAGACAAACGGTCCTGTGATGTTGCAGAAGAAAGGTCACAGCCACAGTGAGCAACCTGGAGCATCTGTTGCTGTGTGACAGCTCTGGGTGTCCTTCTCTTGAATTGCCTGTGTTATCCCCCAAGGGAGTTCTTGGAGCAGAGGGAGGACTATTTGTCATGGCCAAATTTGTTCACTTTACAAAACCTTTCCCTGAGAGGCTGCTGTAACATGCCTGTGCAGCAGGAGACCAGGAATGCAGCCTGAAGGACCTGGACGTGACTTTATTGCTCACCTTCTGCCCTCCCTCCCCTGCCTTGGCAGCGATGCTCCCTCCTCTGAGCTCGAGTCTGCAGGGCCCGAAGGAGCACCACCGGTTGGGGTGGGAGCTCACCTGCAGGCTGCTTTCCCGTGCCTTCCCCTCAGGATCCCTCCCAAGAAGAAAGAGATTTTGCCCAGGGTGAATTTTTGACTCCACCTTCTGTTCTGCTTCTCCTGCTGCCATCCTTTCTTCCTCTGGCACAGGACCTCTGTGCCTCTCAGCTGGGCCAGGAGGAGCTGCAAGATGGTCTCCTGCCTCATCCTGCCTGATCTCTCCTTTCAGGATCCTGTGGCAGCCTGCTAGCCATTCCTAGGTTCATGGTGTACCCAACCATAGGTCCCAGCAGCACAATTGTGCTGCTGAACTAAAAGGCACAGCAGTTGCTGCTACTCGGTGTTGTAAAGCTTGACCAGGAGGGACTTGAACTTTGTAAAATTAAAGGAAGGTTAGGAGGGAGGTAAGGCAGCAGCACAGGGTGGTGGGGGGAAGGAAACCGGAGTTTTCACATCTCTAAAATAAAGGCTGAGCCTTGCCTGGATAAGAGAGAGAGGCATCTGGGACTTTGAACCTCAAAGACCTGTCTTGAAATTGTATTTCTTTTCACCTCCTCAGAATTTCAGTGTCGAGAAGGACCTTTGGCCAGAGCGGACTGGTAGTGCAAACCTGGTATGCAAACACTTCCCTGATCAAATCCATCTGGGTGATGGCAATCAGTCAGCACCAGTTTTACTTGGACAGAAAGCAAAGCAAAGTAAGTTACAAGGCATTTTACTGTGAGCATAAGTTTCAACACCTTTCCCATATATCCCCCAGTGTATGTTTTTCCATGGATGAACTGCTCTCCTGAGAAAAACTACAAATTGTTTTTGTCAGCTTTTTGAGCAGTCTATTAGCGACAGTATTGTTATTTGATCCATTTTAGTCTGCCTGCAATTAAAGGCTATGGAAGCTTAATCACAGAAGAGGGAATTCCCACCTCCCAGTGTTTAATCTGCTTTTTCTTTTGCTTCCTTCTCGTGTTCGTTTTGAACACAGTGCAAATAGCAAAGAGATTTTGGGCTGGGAGATGGTTCAGGCTTTGGGGGCAGAGGGGGAGAGGAACGCCAGCACATCCCTGTGCGCCGCCAGCTCCTGCATGATCCTGTTCCTTTAGTCCTTAATTTTGTGGGAGATGAGGTGTGAAACGTCATCTTGTGACCCTGTGTTCTGAAGTTAATTAGAGGTAACTCAATGAGGAGGCTGGATTTTTTATTTATTTATTTTTTTAAACTGCCTCAGGCGAAAATTCCTTCAGCCAGAAGTTTGGATGATATCGCCATGGATCTGACAGAGATGGGAACACCAAAGGTTTCAAAGTTGGTGACTCTGGAGGCAAAGAACCAGCTTATTATGGCCAGCAATGGCAGTTTGATCTCATCAGGTAATACTTTGTGTAAATTCCAGGTTGTGAAGTACAGCGGGGCTTGTGTATGTTAAAAGGGAAAATGAGGCCAGATGACAATAAATACAGTGACTTATGCAAAGGCCAGTATTAGTTCATGTATTTGAAACAGTAACATCAGTGGTATAATCTGCTGTTTCCCTCCATAATTAAATAAGGAAATAAAAATATGCTAGATGGACCAAGAGTACATGGGTACTTACCCATGAATAATTTGATATTAGTTTACCAGTGAGTCCTCGAATGGCTGAAAGCCTCATCAAAGTCTGAGGGAAATTTGATCCAGGTTAATTTTAAGCACTTGTTCTAGGAGTTGAATTGCCCCCAACTTCCTCAAAAACAAGCAAAGATAAATGCTTCCAAATAAAGCTCAGCTCTGAGGTGGACTTTTGGTCTGTCCCTTGACTCTGGAAGAGGGGTAACGGGGGGAGGTGAAAGCCTGGCTGCCACATGCAGATGCCTCCAGGTGAAGGCCAAGCAAGGAGCTTCAGGATCTGCCTCGAAAGTGAAGTCAAAGCCCAAATATCAAGTATATTGTAGATACTGCTAGTGCAGTGATTTTTATTTTAGTGCTAGTGCAGTGATTTTTATTTTAGGTGGTGGGGTTTTGGGGTGTATACTTAGAACTTACCATGCAAGTATATACAATGGGGATTTGAAAAAGTCCGGCTTTCCTAAAAACCTGCTTGCTGGATGAGACAAGAGTTGGATGTTACGCTTTGAATAATGTGTTGTTTTGCTGGGCTGGACTGCTTTGGAGAGATCTCTGCTTACTTGACCAGAAAAAAACCAAAAAGGGCTTTTACCTGCAAATCCTCTGATACAGAGAGTGTATTTTTCAGGCTCTCAGGATTCAGAGGTCAGTGAAGAACAAAAGAAGGAGAAAATTATGGAACTAAAGAAGAAAGAGAAACTTCTTCAGGAAAAACTGCTTCAGAAGGTTGAGGAGCTGAAGAAAATCTGCCTGCGAGAGGCGGTGAGAACTGCACCTTAGGCTGGGGTCGGGGTGGGTGAGAGGCCTTCTGTCCCTCTGGACCTTCATGTGGAACCCTCTCTGTTCCCCAGGAGCTGACGGGCAAGATGCCCAAGGAGTATCCTCTGAGCGCTGGAGAGGAGCCTCCCCAGGTGAGAAGACGTGTTGGCACGGCCTTCAAGCTGGATGACAACCTGCTCCCCAGTGAAGAGGTGAGCACTGCAGTTTGTTTTCACAGCAGAGGTGGGGTGGCCAGACCAGTGGCCCAAAGCCACTTGTAAATAATCCAGCTCTTCCCTGATTGTTTAAGAGGAGGCAGCTGGGACAGTCGCTTGCATGGGCTGGGGAATTTGGACAGATCCCGCCCTTATTTCAGCTCTGCTGCCTTTGAAATGACCAGGAAGTTGGCTGTTTCAAAAGGCCTTAAAATCCTCCGAGCTGAACCCCTGATTGGGCCATGCTGCTTGAATTTCAATGGACATTCTGCTGCTAATTAGAGCAGAGCAGGTGCAGAAACGCCATTTGGCCGACCCTTGGCTGCGAGCTTTTCTCGAGCATTGATTTGTGTCGGGTTGAGATTGTGCTTGAACCCAGAACATGGCAGGGGTGTGCACTGTTCCCCTTGCAAAATCATCTGTCCGTAAGCGTAGTTATGTGACAGGTGACAGCAGAAGATTTATCTCTGGCTTAATGCAAGTTCCACCTAAATAAAAGCTCTCTATGTTGCTCAAGAAGCTAATACAAACTTTGCTGGCAGAGTCTGACTCAGGAGATATGGTAATTCAGATATACACAGTTTCTGGACACACACCATTCCCCCTCGTTCCTTGTGAGATTTGTTAACAAGCTGCTTCAGCCCAGTAGTAAGTAGGTGTTGGGCACTTTGCATCTGTCTTTCACCAAAAACTGGCTTACAGGACTGGTGCAAATCGTATCTGCAGCAAACTGATTTTATGTAGAGGGTTTAAAAGCTATTGAAACAAAATCCTGCTGACCACATTTAATAATGTGTAGCTTAGTACTGCAGCAGTGCCTTTCATCTGAGCATCTCAAAGCTGTTGACAAACAATTAATTAAAGCCTTCAACTCCCTGTTACGTAGGTACGGTGGCATCAATTTCCACTTCTATTTTCTCCAAGGTAGAGAGAGATTTCGCCAACTCCCTGTTACGTAGGTACAGTGGCATCAATTTCCACTTCCATTCGAAATCTCTCTCTACCTTGGAGAAAATAGATGTTTTCAGCCTTGGTCTCGGAGCAAGAGGCTTAGTGGTGTAAACCTGAATTTAAGTGTCTACCTTATGGCACCCAGGCTCGAGAACCTTGGACCTTTCTCAAGAGATCTCATAATCTTACACTAGTTGTAGAAATAAGATCTAAGCGTTTCATATGCTGAGGTTGTCTTGTGGATAAACTTCGGTATTTCTGTGTGTTGTGCTCAAGATTTCACTTAACACAAAAGTAGGTCTATTCAAGAACTTTCATCTTGTGCTCAAGATTTCACTTCATTAGCACAAAAGTAGGTCTATTCAAGAACTTTCATTGATGATTTCTACCCAGAATACAAGCAAATAACTTATCTCACAAATTTGCAGGATCCCGCATTGCAGGACTTGGAGAGCAATTTTATCATACAGCAAAAGCTGGTGGAAGCTGCGAAGAAACTTGCCAGTGAGCCAGACCTCTGCAAAAATGTGAAGAAGAAAAGAAAACAGGATTATACTGATGCTGTAAAAAAGCTGCAAGAGATAGAAAACTCCATAAATGAGTATAGAATCAAGTGCGGCAAAAAACCAACCCAGAAATCAGCTCTTACTCTACCAGGTAAACAAGAGAATTCCCCGTATTCTGATGAAAACAGGAAGAAAAAAGTAATCTGGCTCACTTACAAGATCTGTTTACATCTCCTCTGTGTGATTTTTATCTTCTCCAAGGCAGTTAAGTAAGAAAAAAAGAGATGCAATTGCTGCATCTGATAGGATAAGTGCACTGCTTACAGGCTGAGGGCAGAATAAGCTGCAGTTTGAGGAACAAGTGGAGACTCGTTCCAGCAGCAGGTATGGACAGAAGGTGCTATACTTAGATTGATGATTTCTACCCAGAATAGAAGCAAATAACTTATCTCACAAATTTGCAGGATCCCGCATTGCAGGACTTGGAGAGCAATTTTATCATACAGCAAAAGCTGGTGGAAGCTGCGAAGAAACTTGCCAGTGAGCCAGACCTCTGCAAAAATGTGAAGAAGAAAAGAAAACAGGATTATACTGATGCTGTAAAAAAGCTGCAAGAGATAGAAAACTCCATAAATGAGTATAGAATCAAGTGCGGCAAAAAACCAACCCAGAAATCAGCTCTTACTCTACCAGGTAAACAAGAGAATTCCCCGTATTCTGATGAAAACAGGAAGAAAAAAGTAATCTGGCTCACTTACAAGATCTGTTTACATCTCCTCTGTGTGATTTTTATCTTCTCCAAGGCAGTTAAGTAAGAAAAAAAGAGATGCAATTGCTGCATCTGATAGGATAAGTGCACTGCTTACAGGCTGAGGGCAGAATAAGCTGCAGTTTGAGGAACAAGTGGAGACTCGTTCCAGCAGCAGGTATGGACAGAAGGTGCTATACTTAGAAAGGAGCATCTCAGCCGAAACTGGTGTGGTCTCTTAATTCTTACTGTATTGAGAGCAGTTGTGTGTCTGAGCTGCCACGTGCAAGGTCTTCTCTCCCTTCCCTTCCGCGACGCGACAGTTCGAGCAAAAATAGAGCATGTGAGGTTTTTCTGCAAAGATCAAGGAAATAAGGATCAAAGACTTTGCCACTTGATTAAAAATTACTGATTTCCAGGAAGACATAGGCAAAGTTCAAGAGTTTATGAGTGCAAATAGTGGCAAACAGATTTTTTTTTTTTGACTAAAGGCATTTGCCATTGATGAACACAGTGAATGCAGATACGCTTGGTCCCTCCATTCTGAAAGTGTGATTTTTCCTAAAGGAGGTGAGATGTTTTGCTGCTTCATAGGATAAAGCATAAAAACTTGCTAGTATCCATGCCAACTGAAGGAGTTTGGGAGTAGTAAAAGCTCATACGATTTGCAGGCTCTTCCAGTTTCCACAGTGATTAACAGTTTTAGGACATGTTTTACTTCTCCTGTCTGTGGAAAATATATCTGGATAATTGTTAATGTTTAATTGATTTCTTTTTTCCACTTTATCTGAGAGGAAATGCTGTTTTGTGAGGTTAGTGGTTTGGTTTTTTTTCCTGGGAATTGCAAGCTAGGAAAAAAAAGCAAGATTTTTTTTTTTTTATGCTGTTTATATCGATACCTTCTTACTGACCCTTGAGATGAGACTTCTTGCCAGCATGTATCTTCCCTGGAGGAAACCCTTCTCCTGTGCACTCTGAGGTTTCTATTGGAGAAACCTTTAGCCATGTCCCATTCCTGTTGAGAGCTTGGTTTGGATTGTTACCCAGCACAAACCACAGCAGCACTGGGCCATCCATCATCACCAAGTGCTTATTCTGAAAGGCTGATGATTGCTACTTAATGTGGCCCAGCTAGTTCCTGATTGACAGAGATGAGGAAAACATCTGTGTTTTCCAGTCTCTTGCTTACTAATCTGGATACTAATTGTGGGAGATCCTGTATTACCTGGGGCACGTGATGTGTAGTGACAACCAGGAAGCTACTGGAGACCTGTGAGGCAGCATCCATGCAGAGTCACCACTCTTTGTTGCAGGCAGTTTCTTGTCCTGTTGGACAAACAAGCAACTTAGGAGTTGGTCCTTATACATTTAGCCCATCATTTTGCAATATTTGGTACGTGACATCCTTGTTTGCTGTCTGGGAAGGTAGACACAGCTAGAAGGGACTAGATTTTGTGTTTCAGAGGGTCACACTGCAGGTGGGGACTGCAAGATGGCAAATACTTAGCCAGAAAAGCAAGCTACATTCCCACATTGCACCATGTATTTATTTACCTGAAGCAGAACTGTTGTCTGCTTCAGTAATTGATTTTCATGTGTAACCTTTTTGCTGTTGCTGATGGTACTGTCAGGCTCAAGGTACAGGGTTTCAGAAGGCTGAGCAGTGATGAGTCGTGTGTGTGAATTTGGGAAATGACTTGTTGGAAAGGACGTAGTAAGTAATAACATTGATTTATTGAATCAAACCATAGCTATTTTCATCCCAGCCCCCAAGGGACGGGAGGTGAAGGACGTACTGGACTGTCTCGTGCTTCCCATATTCCACTTTCCCTTTCCTTTGTTTCCTCTGTAGCCCAGAGTTTCTTCCACTTTTGCAGGATTTAGGATTTAAATTCAGAGCTCCCCCATATGTCAACATTGCAGACCCCACAGGAATCCAGCAATGTAGCTTTAGACTGTCTTTTTAATACTTCTTTTTTTCCTCCAGGTAGGTTTTTTTCCTCCTCGAATTGGGCCCAGTTCCATATTTCACCACCGTGTGGTCAAATGCATGTGAATAAGCTCCCCTGAAGCTTTTTCCCAGTGTCAGGTTCCAAGCAGAGCTGCAGCCCATCCTCAGTGTTCTGACAAGTCCCCCCGGGGCAGGGGCCAGCCCTGATGTTTTGCTGTTCTTGAAAAGCTGCTCTGGTTTACCAAATTCTTGTAACCAGACCTTTCCTCGCAGCAAAGTGTGACACCAAGGGAGTGACGTACGTTGCATACGCTCGTGATGAGTGATGGAGGAAGCAGGTGTCATACACAAAGTGGCTGCCACCTTCTTCTTTTGTTGCTTACTCTCACTCTTGCGTGGAGGCTCATGTAGACTTTTTACCCCACCAGCACCGTGTCTTGCCAGAAATGGTCTAGGAACAGATTTTTCTCTGGGTTAATTATCTCTTGTCCTGCTTTTTATCACCAGCCTAATTTCTCTGCCACTGGTGGTCTGTGCTAAACCTTAGCAAGGAATATCAAGGTGAGAGGACAGGCAGGTGCAGTAAAGCACTTGGGATAAATAACAAAATGTAAAAGAAATAGAAAAAAATTTGCAATGCCTGTACAACAGTTACTGCTCTCTGTGTTGTTGGAAGTTGCAATAACTTGATTGAAATCAGTGGAATTATTCTGAATCGATATTAATGTAATTGAAACTGGATTTGCAGGCTGATGAAACATTCAAAAGTGCCAGATTTCAAAAGTCACCTACCTGGTGGGATTTCAGGTGTACCTAGAGGAGATTAGATGCTCGCAGCCAAGACATACATGTCTCTGTAGGCTCCTGACTCCTGTTGATGCACCAAAACACCCTGTGAGATCTGTTGGAAGTTGGGTGGAAAACACCTTTGTAAACCTTGGCTTGATTCCCACTGCAGTTGAAAAATAGTCTCCTTTAGGTAGGCAGGTTGCTGAATTGCAGTGAACGCAACTAGGTCATGACATACTCCAAAGAAGGGATGTCTTCAGACTCTTGAAGGCTAAAAGATACAGATTGTAGTGTTAGAAGTAGAAGCTGTCTCTGAAGCTGTAGAAAATAAACTGTATGTGATATCTGGAAATGAATGTTGGGTCTTCCATGCTTAAAGTAACTTGTTTTCATTCACAGATGATATAATTCCATCTGAGAGCAGCTCCCTGTCTGATACAACCACCTATGATGATGGTACGTTGCTTATTCTTTTTCTTTCTATGAAGTATGCCCGTTCAGGTAACATTCCTTTGACTTAATGTCCTCTAGCTTACTGCTTTGGTGGCTTTTGATGACAAATTACTTCACAGCGGAGGAGGAAAGAGCTTAACCAGGAATGTCTGTCTTCATAACGGGTTAATTATTGAAAGTGTCTGCTCTGTGAGCTGATCAGAGTTGTCTTTAGAGAAGGCAAGCAGTTTTAACGTGACCAACCTGCAAGCTGGAAGGCTTTGAATTTTGAACAAATACTTCATCCCTAGGACCTTGCCAGAGGCAGATGTGGCTGGAGGAGTTACAAACTGGGAGGATTTGCCCAGCCTTTCTGTCCTCACAGCCACTATAAAACTTATGGGGAAAAAAATAAGTAGAATAGGCACAAATATTAACGATTTGTTTACGTTTCTCTGTTGCCTGGTGAGCCTGCATCTTGCATGGGTATGGTGTTTGCTCAGCTTACTCATTTCACACCCACACCCACAGACACACACATTTACGCCCTGTTCCACAAGGTGGAAAGGACTTGGCTTGCCTCTCCCTTAAACTGGATAATCATCATCTGGGGACAAACATTATCTAAATTAGTACTCGCTTTTCAGTTAGGGCCTGATTCTGATCTCAGTTTGTCCCAGTTTCAGACTTGTACAACCCAGCTTGTGCTTTAAAATGGAGTTACACCTGATTCCTGCTTGTACAAGTAGTAGTAGAGCCGGGGCTTTGGCTTCTGAAAGTGCTCTCTGTGGTGCTCCTGCTGCATTTAAATGTATTAGTTGGAGTTTCCTCTTGGCTCTGACGGGACCTGGGTTGTGCCCTAAGCAAAGCGAGAACAAGGATCAAACCAGCGTCTCCCCGATTGCCTTCAGCCAAACCTGTCTGTCAGTTGCCTTTCCTCATTCAGTCGCTTTTGAAGTCAGCCCCTTTTAGGTTGTGTTCCAAAACTAATCCTTAAAATGTCATTTTCAAGGAAAGAGCTGGAAGGTGAGGGAGAGGAACTGGCTTTTGCAGAGGCTGAGCTTGCCTGCTGGGCTCCGGGGAGGGATCGCGCCGCAAACAGGTGTTTTCCCAAGGAAATTCCACTTTGATCTGGCACAGCCCCAAGCTGGGTGTAGTACCTGTAGGAGTAGGTGCTGCCAAGATCTGTATGACGTCCTCTCCTCGTGGAGAAGAGCTTGGTGCAGGCAGGAGAAACTTCCCAGATTCCCAACTTGTCTCTGTAGTGCAAAGTGTTTCTGCTTAGGGGCCACAGATTTGCATAGAGGGCAAAAATATCAAGGCTTTTGCTAACAAAATGCATGTTCCTTTTCAACAGTCAGTGAATCGGTTCCTGTGCCAGCACAGAGACCCAGCTCTGCGCAGCTTTCTCCAAGGCTTCCCCCACCCAAGTCCCTCGGGGTGGAGAGAAATCATCTCAGAAAGTCATCCATAAACGAGCAGCTCTTGGAAACCAGACACTCCAGGTAGGGCTCGTCTTGCTGCCGCTGTGCTCTCCACATTGCTGCCAGGAGCTCTGTCCTGCTCCTGCCAAGACTTACTACGGGCTCTCCAGCAGAGCCTGCTGCCTCCACACTCCTCTGCCGTTTGGTGATGGGAGCTAAATTTCCTGTTTAGTAACAAAAGTGGGGATAAGTGTGTAGAAGTAGTTGCTGTGGTCTCTGAAACTATAGGGTAGCGTAGTCTTTGTGCAGAGCAAGCTGCTGTATCTAAGGAATTGTTCAGGCCCACCAGTGCTGTCACTCTTTGTCTCCATTTCTATGGTTTGTTTTTAATATTAATTAAACAACTTGTAATTTTCCTGATGATTGTGCTTAATGACTTCAGTTAACACCAAGCCATACCCCTCCCTCCTGATGGTATCGGGATTTCAGCGGGTACACTGTCAAAGTGTACAGAATTCGTGTTAAGTCCTGATGGGCGACTCGCCATGTAAGAGCAGAGTTACTGGGATTCAACCAGCTACCATCAGTAGTGGCAGCTGCAGTGACTGGCTGAGGTTTTCATGTCTATCCATGGGATTTGGGCACTTTCTGAGCTAGAAGAATAGTTCCATGGGGCACATCGACAGCAGTAGCTCTGCTGATGGTTTTGTGATCAGGTTCTATGGGTCTGATCTGGTGCTGGTTGTTCTCTGTGTGAGGGTTCCCACCCATCCTGATATTTCTTGGTCTGTCTCTGGCTTGAGCAAGCTGCTGAAATACTTTTGAGGTTTTAGGCAGTGTCATGTCACTGCATTTTTCTCAGCTGTCCCTCAAGGTAAGCAGAGCAGTCCTCCACATGATGTTTGGAAGTTGAGTTACAGACATATGTAACCCTTTAGCTGTGATGTGCTTCATTTTAAAACCTAACTCCTTTGCTTCTGTTACCTGCTCTGTCCCTTCTGCTTTCTACTTCTGTCCTTTAGCAGGAGCCTTTCATATCAGTCATTCTGTGAAGACCTCCCTTGCTGTGTTATCCCCTTGAGCCACAAGAAGGGGTTGAATTTTTCTTCAGTGTATTACGAATCTGTCCTTTATACGGAAAGCATGTCCTGTTAAACCCTTATCTGCTTTTTCTGCCCTTTGTTTTCTTTCTTCAAGACTTAGGGCCTGCATATTCTGTGTGCTGTGACTCGTGTGGTGTTTAACCTCACTGGGGTTGTCTCCTTCTTTACAGGGACCCTCTTTCGACTCACAGCAGTCCGTACCGAACCCTGGACCGGCCGCCCCAGCCCCATGGAGGGAGAAGCATGCCCACAACCCCCGTGCTCACACGCAATGCCTACAGCAGCAGCCACTTACAGTAAGAGGACTTTGTTTTAAGTGCAATGTCCATCTTAGGCAGCAGCAGAATACTTTTAAGATAGTCAGAACTTATTTTACGTTTCCCTTGTAGCCTCATTTTCTAACAAAGTGAGGCTTATGAAGTTGTGTTGTCCGTCAGCTAGTGGTCTCCCCACAAAAACTTGTTCAGGAGCTGACAGATATCCGCTGTGGATTGTCTCCTACAAGCGTCCTGAAGAAACAAAGGGCCAGCTAGAGGCGAGAGATTCCAATTTGTACAATTACTATGGGAAGAGAGCTGCAACGTGATCTCACCTGTGTTATTAGACAGCTGAGAGTCTGCGCTGGGGCAGGAGAGATGCTATAAATCTTACAATGTTATGAAGAGCTCATGGTTTATTTGGCCGGGGTAATACAGCCTTGAGATACAGAGCTGCAGGAAACCCATCTTGCTGTGCTGCTCCTAGCTCAGTTCCTTGTGTGGACTTTACCTACTTAAAAACTGAGAGCCTTCCTGTAAATCACTGCAGAATGTGAGTTTATGACCTTTGCTGCATGCGTCCCTGTCGCAGATTAACCTCTCTTACCATGAGAGGCTTTTATATGAGGGATCTCCTACTGTTGCAGCAAATCTACATTGCAAGAAATCCAGCATGGCTGAATTTTAGATGTTCTGTGTGGAAGGAAAAGACAGGGTTTGTGTTGTGCTTTGGCAGGGGAGGCCGTGTGCCTGACTTGCCTGTGCGTGCTCTCTCCAGCTCGGTGTGTGTGTGGGTGGGTTTGCCTGTGGCTGCCTTTGACCAACCAACATCTGTGTTGTTTCAGGCCAGATGTTTCCCCACACCACTGCCGGCAGCGCAGCGGAAGCCTGGAATCCCAAACCCACCTGCTGTCCGAGACTCCTGCTGACAAGGCAGCCTTCACCCTCTCCAAGTCCCAGCGAAGCAGCAGCACGGAGATCCTGGATGATGGATCATCCTACACCAGCCAGTCCAGCGCAGAGTATTACTGTGTGACACCTACTCCCAACCCCTATTACACCACTCAGACGCTCGACAACAGGACCAGGAGTCGAAGACGCTCAAAGAAACACAACATTTCTGCTGCAAATTCAGGAAGTATGCCAAACCTTGCCCAAAAGGATGTCCGCAACGGTGTCTACCACAAAAGTCAGGAGCAGCCTTCCTCTAGTTACTATATTTCCGGATATTCCCCATACACAGAATCTGATGCTTATTACAATGGAGGCTACGTTTATGAGAGCGATACGGAGGGACAGTACAGTGTCAATCCTTCCTACCGCTCCTCGGCACATTACGGATACGACCGTTACAGGGAATTCAGGTCTTACCACGAGGACGAAGTGGACAGAGTACCGCACAACCCGTACGCAACCCTACGGCTTCCGAGGAAGCAAGTTGCTAAAACGGAGCATATAACCAAAAACATTCACAAGGCCTTAGTAGCAGAGCATCTCCGGGGTTGGTACCAACGTGCCTCCAGTCAAAAGGAACAGGGTCATAGCCTGCAGGCGGGCTTTGAGTCTGACAGAGGATCTCAAAGGAGTTTGGGCTTTGCTGGTCTGCAGGTGCCGTGCTCTCCTACCAGTCGGGTGTCATCTTTCTCTTCAGGTAATGTCTGATTTCTTCTCTGCTTAAATGTTTTTGTAAGTCCCTGCTGTGCATCAAATTCTGGCCACCCTCTGCAGCCTCATTGAAGTCAGCAGAGTAGAAGCCAGGCTAGAGCTCTGCCCTGAAAGGTAGATGAGGAACTGGACAGGATCTTGTTCTGTGTTTGGGAAGAAATACTTGCTTGTTGCCTTCACCAGTAGGTAAAACTTTGTAAGCTTGGTAGTCCAAAGAAGCACTAAAGGGCTTCAAACAGGCATGTTTGCCAGCTAGAAGCAGCGTGCAAAGCTTCATGCCATGTGAATGCAGTTGCCATGATGGCTTCCAAAATACAGTGTAATGAGCATCACTGAATGGGTCAGAAAGTCTTTTTAAAAAGATTCCCTACCTCCAAAATACCACCCTCACAGCGCTTTCCTCCTTGCAGGGCCTGTCCATCATATTTTGTGTTTGCATTGTCTGCTTGTGTGTCCTGCAGAAACCCACAGAGATCGCTGATGAGAATTGTTTCACTTGTCTTAGCTGATTTAGCCAGAGAAAGATCTAATTTGCTCTAATTTATATTTATATTTTTTTTTAATTCCAGCATCTTCTGCAAACACTGCTGGGAACTGGCGAAACCCACTTGGGCTGGGACTTTCAGACTATGATTCGTTATCTCATTCCTCATATTCCAGCTGTTACGGGAATGTTTATGGCAACCTTCCTTTGCAGAGCAGGTGAGTGGAGCAATATCAAGAGTTTCTGCCCTTCGTCCTGCAATTCACAGGCTGTTAAAACTTTTGAGGAAAGCAACTTGATTTCAAAGGGCCAGGATGAAGAGTAATTATAAAATCTGCTTTGTGAGAGCTAAGTCCTCTGTGTGTGGAGCAGATCAGCTGTACCACCACCAACTCTGCCATGGACACTTGAGGAAGCAGGGAGCAGTCATAGGGAAGGATGAGCTCATTTCTTGCACAGCCTTTGCCTCTGGCTGGTGCTGGACCATCAAAGGTCTTGTGCTCCCTGGTAGCTGTGATGCTCAGGGCAGTGCTGAGTCCCTCTCACCCCCTGTGACAGGAGGTGTGTCCTGCACCCCACCAGCAGTCCAGCAAGACAGTCTTGTTGTGTTTCTGATGCTGTAGCACCCGTGCTGATAAACTGGGAAAAGAAGGAAAGGAAACATCTCTCTTCAACCCCATGTCTTAGTGCAATGCCCCATCTGCTGAGCACATCTCACTTGGATGTTCCTGCTTCCCAGTGGGAACCAGGTGCTGCTTGAGGGGCTCTCCTGAGGACTGCAGGGAGCCCAGGCTCTGCTTGGTCCTTGCAGAAATTCCTCCTGCTCTCTAAATGCCACCGTGTTTGAGGACAGTTGTGCTAAGTGTAGCCAGCTGTAGTAAGTACCCCACATTCGTGCCTCCTGCTTCATGGGCTGCAGCTTGTGCTTGCTTTCATGCTGACTTGCATGAAATTGCTGAATCTTTAATTTTGTTTGTTTTAAAATAAATGAAAGCGTAAGGAAAGATACAAAAGCTTCTGCTAGATCCTCATTTCTAAGATAAATGCCATGGGCTTTTTTTATTGCAGTGATTTAAAAGATCTACAGTAACAGTGTTTAAAAATATAGATTTTGCTAAATTCTTACAATTAGGCTTTGGAAACTCTGCTTATTTTGGCAGCTTTTTCTATATAAGGCTTATTAGCTATTAATTTTGCGAATTGTGAATCACTTGTTTGATAGTTCATCTGCTTTATTTTCTATTTAAATGGGATTATGGCAAACGAGCCATCAGCACAGTCTAAGAAGTCTTGACAATTTTGAAGCTAATGGCTTCAAGCTCCAACAGGGTAGGTTTAGATTGAACATTAGGAAAGAATTTTTCACCGAAAGAGTGATAGGGCATTGGAACAGGCTGCCCAGGGAGGTGGTGGAGTCGCCATCCCTGGCTGTGTTTAAGGGCCGTTTAGATGCAGTGCTGAGGGACATGGTGTAGGGGAGGACTTTGTAGAGTAGGGTAGATAGTTGGACTCGATGATCCCAAGGGTCTCTTCCAACCTAGACGATTCAAAAA